TGGTTGAATCGGGCTTGTTCCGGCGAACGAAACTTGGTTAGATCATTAGTTTGTTTGGCTTTCTGGGTAAGTAGTTTGGCCGTGATAATACAAGGGCATCTGTTGAACAGAATAGAGAAGGTTCCGCCGCATCTGATAGAGGATCTTTGTGGATTCAGATCACTGAATAGTTTTCGATTAGTATTGTATTTTAATGCTTTTCTGTCTATTGATCGTTTGTTCGCTCGTATTATGAAAAAATTCCACATTGAATTCAATTTGCAGTTACGTTTGGCAGTAGGCGCAGAAATAATTGAAAGAATACGTGAACAAATCAAAGAGAAAACACAATTCCATTGTTCGGCTGGTATTGGTTCCAATAAGGTTTCTCTTATGCATCTTATTTGGTTGACTTGTTCATCTCATTTCTTTCATTGTGATGCAGAACGCGATTGATAGCGTTTAATTGGTATCGAAAAGCGTGTTTCAGATGATCGCAAAATTGGTGTGTTCGAGACACAAACCTCGTCAACAATCGCTCATTCCGGATGCATTCATACCGGAAGTATTCCGCAATACTCGAATACGATCCATACGCAATTTGGGTGGTAAACTTGGGCGTGCGCTTATGGACGCTTTTTCAATTGAGGCTGGTTTATAGCTGGTTATTGTGAGATTTCGCTGATGAATCGCATTCATATAATCAGTCAGTGATTCGAATGGGCATTTTTCGATTTTCGTCTTAATTCGCCCTTAAATTCCAGGGCAGATGCTCCCAAATTGTGTGTGTGTATGTGTGTCTTCGTCATGATTGGTGTTTTGATGGAGGAATGAAATGAATGTTAATTGTATTGTTGTTGCTTGCAGTCAATATTATTGTTGCGAACGGTTGTTTCAGACCATGTTCGAATTGTCGAAAATATCAGTGGAACAACTCAACGAACGCTTTAGTGCACAAGCGAAATGGATTGCAAATATTGCGAAAGGTTTGTGAATTGTAACAGTTGCTCATTGGTACGTCAACTTTGGCGTTATTTTCTCAGTTGATTATTTGAGAAATTTCAGTCTCTCTCTGTTTTTATGATTTGTTAATGCGCATTACTATATGCGGTGTTAGATAGAGTAGTAGACGTTTGAATCGTTGATTGCTAGCTATTCTTGTAAAGGAGTGGATGATGAGCCTGTGCGTGCACGTGATAAGCAAACATCGATTGCAATCAGCAAGAATTTTCCCGGAGTGAATGCGCTGACGACAACAGAAGATGTACAGTTTTGGCTGAATGGACTTGCCAAGGAGCTTGCGAAACGTTTGGTCGAAGATCAGATCAAGGTTTTTGATCGTTTTGATAGTTTGATTTTTTACAATTATCGATCAAGTTAGCGAGCGGGCAATAACAATGCATGAATGAATGTGTATTGATGTAGGGTGGATGTATATTTTCGTGCATTGTCATTTTCTAGAATGAGCGTACCGCGTGTACTCTGCACGTGAGTTGTACCACCGAATCGCTGTCGAACGGAGCGCATTTAACAAAGAGTTGTCAGATTGTTTCGTACGCATCCGATGCCATCTACAACGCATGTTGGGCGATCATGCGGCATTTCAATAAATCCACAGTACCATCGAAATGGTTGGATTTCGCCGTTCGATATTGAATTCATTTCACTTGATGTTTGTTTTTATGTGTGTAGCTTGAAAGTATTCGCTGGACCGGTATAACATTTATTCAGGTGGTTATTTTGTGATCACTCGGTGCATTGCAGCAATTGATTTAATTACATGCAATGCGTACATAGTGATCCGTATTTAATCCTCACTGCTAGAATGGTAGACATAATTGGTTGCGGAATATCACGTTGAAGAGATGAGTGGAATGAAGATGAGTGTTCATTTTAAGGGAACCATCCATAGTGAATATTTCGTTATCGGCAACGAGATTTCACGATGGCATTGATCAGTCATCGAAACGTATCACGGAATGGATCAATCGTAGAGGTGAGCAGTTGGCTGCAGGCAAGGACTCGGAACCATCCTCACAATCACTTCATTCAGCGGTGAACTTTCTTATTGTTGAGTTATCTATTCATTTGTGACAGATCAATTTTGTAATTATACTCACCTTTATTTGGCACTATCCTCTAAACTTATTATACGAGTTCAGGTATCGAAAACGACTACTACACCGAATACTGCACTTGTTTCAAGTGTTATGCAAGACTACTGTATGACGCCTGTGGCTGAAGTTCGGCTGGATTCACGGCAGATCGACGACAACAGTGCTAGCGCAGTAGCAGCGAGCAGTAGTGGTGGTGCTTTCCTGCCGAATTCGTTACAAGAAATACCACGTGAAATGTTAGCAGAGATGCCTGAAGATATCAGGAGGGTTCGTTGCTTCTCATTTCATGTCTTTTCTCAGTTTTATTGCTGCACTTTTGTTTGTTTTGTTTGCGTTCTCGGAATAAGTTGAAAGTGTGCATTCTGTCTTCAGCATATTCACAGTCAAAGGCTTATGATCTGAATGAATTATTGTATTCATATATGTTTTATTGATATTTTGATGGTGTGTCATCGCGGATTGCGATTGATTATCAATTACAGGAACTTTCAATATATTATCATCAGAAAAAGGTGCAAGAGCGAGGCGCCTTATCGCCTTCATCAAAAAGCAAGACGACATCTTCGCCTTCATCAACGAAATCGTCTCATCGGCGATCAACAAACAAACGTATCACTCGAACATCCTCTAGCACTAACGTCGAACCAAAAAATATGAAGAAAATTTCTGATTTCTTTAAAAAGACTTGATTCGTCATTATTAATATTACGCGTGTTATAATAATAAAAATAAAAATAATAATTGTTATTATTATTATTATTATTATTATTACTGATATGATTGTTATCTTTATCGTAATCGCCACTGTAATTTTCATCATCGTCATTGTAGCAATCCATATGAACAGTTTACACTTTCATATGAATTATATAATTGATGCGTCAGTATGATGACAGTGTAGAATGCGCAAAGAATTAATGCAGTGATATCAGTTATTGCTTTATTAGTGCAATGAATTAATGGATTTTTGATTTTTTGAATAATCTTTTAAAAATTTTCAATTAGTGGGGATAGCATTATCCATTAATGGATAACGTTATCTTCCACGAAACAGGCGATTATTTTATTTTTCGTATGTCTAAAGACTTCGGTCTCTAACAGAAGGCATTTAAAGTCTTTCATTTATGATCTTCTGATCGTGTTTTATCGTATGTCGTTAAGCATCGGTACTCTTCTTTGATAGATTTTACGTGTATTATATCGCATTGCTTTTTAAGACCTCACCTATTAATCGCTTGCAATGTTTGTTCGTTGATAGNTTGGTTCATTGAAAATATCGTTCATAAAGTAAGGAAATATGACTGAGAAATACGATGGTACTTGTATTGCTTGTTGATTCGTTAAGCTCATTCAAACTCGATTTTTTTCACTCACAATCACATTTACTAATCACATACACGCTGAGTCATAGTTGTGTAAATGTGAAATATGTATTATTTGTACGTACATTCTGAATCATTCCAAATTGGTTTTTTTTTTGTAAAGTAATTATCGCTAATTTATGATCGCTAATTTATGTGCTCTTTAGAGCATTAAAAAAGAATAATTTCAAGCGAGATAAAGCAGTGTTTGAATGTCAAAAAGTTTTATTATTCCTTCAGTACACGTAGAATTCATCAGTACATAAACAATTAAAGACTGATCATAATAATACAACGTATCACAATACTTCATGTAGTTGCTGACTGTAAGGCACGTCAAATTTACTTTTTACACTTTTGATATTAGACGATGAAATTTCAGCCGTATGCCTTCTTTTTTTCATAACATAATACAATGTGAATGAATGCCTTCATCTTCCATAATATAATACAATGTGAGACAGAAACAAACTCATTCTGCCTAAACTTTTGCATGCATTATTTATATTACGTGTTTGCAGAGCGTTTCAAGAGAACAATTCATAATGAATCGACATTTGCATACATATTTACAAACATAATACAAATCATATTTGCACGCGATTGGAGACATAAATATCATACAAATCAAACCCTAATAGCTGATCAGAGTGTGGTCGTGGTGAGTATTTCTAGGTGGTGTTAAGATGTAGGTCATCAAACCACCACTAGATAACAAATAATATCCATTTTCTAATCTCCATGGTATTCCCAATGAGACAGACGATTATTTTATTTTTCATATATCTGAAGACTTCGGTCTCTAATNAATTTGTAGAAGTTTCAGATTTTAGAGGTACGTTGTGGTATTTGAGTGCAATTTCACAGAAATAAACTACATAAAGGTTATGGCTTTTTGATGAGATAAATACTGCTGTAACCTCTCCACTTATGGCTCATAATGAACGCTGAGATCTGAGGAAATTCTTCCATCGTTTACGAATTTTATGCTTATCACTGTGGTCATCTCTAGTATTGGCCAGCTCTAATGTTTTACCGTTTTGTGCTGCTTTTCTAAACTTATTCTCATCATCATTGTTATTATTATTATAACTTATAGAATCACTGTTATTATTATTGTTGTTGTTATGGCGATATCGTTGCATATCAAAATGCCATTGATTTATCGTATCATCGTCAATGCGATTGTCATTCACCTCTTGGGGGTCAGCAATCGAACTGTGATCTCGGGAATCGATAGAATTGTTGTTAGGCATGGAATTTGATGGAGGGGATGATTTCTGGTGTTTCGAAGAAGAGTGCGTAGTTGATGGATGATCATACATGAACTTCTTATGACCACTGTACAAATAATCTGTATTCGTTAATTTGTGCTGTGTTAATTTGGTATTGCCTGAATCAGATTTGTGAATACTCATACTGAGTTGTGGATGTAGTTGTTGATAGTTATTACTCGCAGTGACATTAGTCACACTAATATTCGAGTGTGCATCCGCCGTCGAATCGTTCGACAACGGATGCAGCAACGAGTTCGGAGACTTCCGTAAGTCGACAAAATTGGACGCCAACCACACGAGTGCAATGATGATAATCAAAGCACCCTGGCTTATGTACACGTATCGTTTTATTGTTCGTTTCCGATGCGCATTCCAATCGTCGTAACTTCTTGCCTGTTGCTGTTGCTGCTGTTTTCGTTGCCTGCTTTGATTCTTCAAATTCTGAATTTGTTGTTTCCTGAGCGCAACAATCGACGTGGCGTTTGGAGGTGATTGATTTGGTAGAAGCGAGCCAGATGGTGACGGCGTGAACGGTTGAAATGGTGGCTGGCGGAGTCTGAAAGAAATAAATTACCTGTTTTTTGTTTGTTTTTTTTTTTTGAAGTTCCTTTCACATGAACTGGAATGGGAATTCTCGGTGACGGAATTGCTGTTGTGAAATGCTTGGGGAACTTCAATCTGGGGCTTGACGAGAGGTTCGCTCATTTATAGCGCTGAATGGAACGGAAAACTAACGTGATAGCATTCGTGATAACTCGCATTCTGTCCCAGAATGAACACGATGCGCGCGATGAATTCGTATTCGATTGCGCTCGATCTGAATTATTATCTACAGCAGAATGTGAATCTGTTGATATATTTGGTTGTTGTCGAGTATCTGGAGCAGTCTCCTCGTTCAACTTCAAAACACCGATACATCGATTCGGCACACTCCTCTCATAACTTGTACGACGACGTTCTAGTAGTGATGGAGAAGCACTGAAAAGCTTTCTACGTTTCCAGTTCCATACATCGGTATCAGTTTCGAAAATTTAGAATCCAAAGCAGCAAACGCCATAGAGCACTGATAAACTTTGTCTTAAACTGTAAATTAGTCATGTATCCCCCTGGCTGTATTTTATTGTAGATGAATAAATCGATTGAGAATCGAAAGTCGCCGAGTGATGCAAAATTCAGAAATTCAGTCGAGAAAATCGCTTGCAAGAGTAGTAAACATATCGAGCGAAGTAATTCTTCGAACGGATATCTTTTGACTGCTTCCGTTCATTCAGTTGCTTGTTTCGTGATAAGCAAACAGTCATTATGCTAATGTGCTCTGAAAATATGCTGCATTGCGCAAAAACACATAAATAATCTCACTGACCGAATTTCATCATCGAAATTATCGTCAACGATTAAGAAGTTCTCATATGCAGTCAAATTAGACGGTTCTTCAGGTGAGTGCTGAGCACTACTGAACCCTGAACTGGTCGAGTTGTCGTTCGAGTAGTCTTCTTCTGAAGATATCCTGAAAATTCATCCCAGATTCTTCGATTGCAATAACCACATATTACTTTGTCATGATCTCCCACAGAAGGACACTTTGTTTTAGGAGCGGTAAAACTTTTTACTTGTTACTTACACATCGAGCGATTGTTTTGTTGATCGATGTTAGCGATCGGCGGAATGTTTATTTCGTAGAGTTATGATTATTTATCGGATTGGTATTTGGCTACGTTTAATTGTNCAAAGTATTCACGGCAACTAATTAAATACTCGGTTGTGTTCACTTGGCCTGCTCGCCTAGCCAGCGGGGTGGCATAAAGTGAGGCTAAAACAATGCGCACGGAAACGCGAGCATTGTGGCTAGCAACGTTATAAACGTTTGATAGCCTGACCAATCCAGGTAATCCAGGTAAAATGAGCCATAAGAAGTTGTGATTATGTTTAGTAATGGAACAAAATGATCTGATCCAAGAGATCTGATTGAAATTCATCGAATGGTTGATTCGATGTGATGTTTTTCATTACTGACAGCAGTATCATTTAAGAAGAATCACACAAACGAGCAATATTTCTAACTAAATCTAGCAGCATTACAGCTTCAGAGTAAAAAATCTTTCTAAACATCCGAAGAGAAGATCCGGAAAAAACACACAAAAATCGACCGAAACGAGCGAATCACTCCGTAACGACGAGCAACTTTCACCCGTTACTATCTCAGATTTCATCAGTACAACTTGGAGATTGTTCCTTATTTCTTCGGTCGAATCATTGATCACCGAAACATTGTTTTCTCGAGGAAAAAGAAAAAAAAACAATGAATTCTATTGCTCTCAAGCAATCGATCACCTAGTCTTATGGTAAACATGCGACGCATTTGCACTCTATGAATATTAGAAAAGGGTGAAAATTGAATTTTCCGAAAACTTCAAAACTCAAATATATGATTGTGACTTAGCAACTTGACAATGTGGTTGTTTTTTTTTGGTTTCAGTAAACTGAATGAATGAAATTCGACAATTTAAGAACGGTTCAAATTCTGAATTCTAGAATGCAACAAGCATTATTGAGCGTTATGTACGCAGATAACATAGTGAATTCGGCAAGTGCTTGTCTCATGCCAGATTTGCGCATTCATATGTCCAAAAGGAAATTATAATAAATGAGCGAAGAAACGTTTGACAGATTTTTTTTGTACACTTTGCACTCGTAAATGTCGCTCAGTTTCTTTTGGAATAATGCATTCGGTGGACAGTTCATTTAATCGTGCGAACAATGCTCACAGCATACGAGTGCGTTACGCAAGAAAATCCTATCTGATCGCCGCACAGTTCTCATTTTTACAATCATTCCTCTTGCCGCTACTCAAACACCTCGTCCGTCACTCGCACACAAAACAAACACGAAATTGAACTGTTCAGCATGAGAATTTGATCGCTGAATAAATCCCCAATTTTTTTCAGTTCTCTTGAAGAAGTGACATTTATCGAGTTTACACTAACACTTTTCGTAATCGTGTACTGACTATTATTTATTCATTTGATAAATTTGAACATGAAATTGAATGAAAACAAAAGTAAGGAAAATCAATTTCTTACTCTTATTCACCTACAACGATTTATTACAACATTCTGTTACTGCGTTAAACGATTTTTTTCTCGAAAATTTCTCCGGAGTCAGTCTCAAAAGAGTTCGTCTTAAAGAATCTTAAAAGTTTGAATACAGACATTGCTGAACAAACGAACGGTTCAAGCTCTCTCATTACAATTCAACTTCTTTTATCAGAGATAATGTGTCCTTTCCGCTTCAACGCCTTCATGCTACTTGCTTAAAGCTCGTTTGTTCACTTTGCGTGCGCACAAATGGGTGAAGTGAATTGACAAATTGAATGTTCCGTTCAAGCGTCAACCACAACTCAAAAGGCAATCAATAGAAGTTGATCGAAAGAAAAAGAAATTATACTAATACTGAGACTTTAACGGGAATATGCACTTTTGATGGCACTCTGCTCTATGTGAGCACTTCGCTGAGAATGAATGACTAACATCGGAGTGGCTACAACTTACTGGAGTGGGCAATAAATAAGATGTAATATCATTCACTCAAACACCGTCTCGAATGCGCCCACCTCCGCACGAAATGCATTATACCTATCATCGTCGTTTAAAAGAAAATACAATTCAGTCCTCAAAAGCAATCACACTTTCCTTTGCGTCATGCCTCAATAATTGAATAAAATCAAAGAAATCACATTTCAAGTTTTTTGTTGTTTCATTTTATAATTTTAAAAGAGTAATTTCCGAAGCGTTCGTGACAACTTCCGTAACACGTCCGACCCTACAACACTGATGAAAAGTCAAGATAAGTAGCATTAAGTTAGAGTGAATTCAATCCAATCATGCGTGAATATGACCGAGTTAGCAACGTTGTCTTGCAATATTCAAAATATTCCCATAAGTTCATCAAAAAAATATTCTTGATCATTTCAAAACCATGACAAATAGGTATAGGCAGTACCACCATCTTGACGGAAACGCATATTGATTCATCTATTAAGATGAAGAAATTAGAAAATGGAATTTGGGAAATTTTAGTTTTTGCCATTGAATCTTCTTCACATATGGATGGCTTCAGTTTAAAACAGACGCGTTTGTAAGAATGGAATTAGATTTTGCCGAATAAGATCACGACCGTCTCTCAAGGGAGCACTTCAGCGAAGCCATGCGGCGTGATGTGGGGCTTGCTCTCTGTGCACTGGGTTTGCACTCATTTTCTGCGATGAGAAATTAATTTTTCTGAAGTTATATCGATATGGAAACAATTTCGCCAGTCTTGTGGGTCACACTGTGAGAAGTGAGTGATTCTGCATTGCACAATAAATTCATAAAACGGATGAATGCACATGGAAGCGCGCTCAGAGAGAATCTTTTTTGCTTGGATATGTTCGAGAACAAAGTATAATAAGTGAAAAGATGGAGAAAGAATATGGAAGAATATTCGAACGAGGCAAACTTTAAGAATACGCACAGCCCAAGAGTTTTCGTCTTTGGAATATGCAAAAAGAAATAAAATCTTCTTTAGAGTTCAAATGAATGAACGTTCCCCCCTCCTCCTCCTCATAAATCGACTCACATCAGAGATGAAATCGGAACAGAATAATTTGAGTTATGAAAAGACGTTATCGTTGAACATAACAACTCTGGAATAAGTAGGCTTGTCAAAAGGCAACTGATGAAAATGTTTCAAAAAGGTCATGAACCCGGCACAATGATTCATTCACGATCAGACCAACCTCATTTAGGAGTCGAAACGCAGTTCAAAATGATGTGTAAATTTCAACAAATTCGACACCGAACAATTACAGGTAATCATATTTGTGGCAAAGGTAAATATTTATCTTTGTTCACTCACTTATTCATTGACGATTGAAGGAAAACACAGAAAAAGCTGTCGTAATATTCGAATAACGAATGATGTGACGGCCCAAATCGATGCAAGGAAGGAGTACGCAAAAAAAATGTGTGCCTACGATATGCATCATGCATCGGTGGATTCGGTGAATAGAATAGACATTGATGTGATAAACGAAAAGAAAGTCGGTTGAATGGTTCATTCGGATTGACTCGTATAAAAATTCATGAGAAATAAAGAAACGATTGCGATGATGTATCGTCCATAAATGGTTATTGACTGAATTCGAGTCTTAGAATGGTCAATAAAAGAGTTTTTGTGGTTATCAAGAAAAGCATTTCAACTTTCATATGCTGCTAGTAAAATTTTTTGAAATTAATCCAATCAGTCAAAGGTGAACGTAATTCGAATATCAGTCAAAAGTGATAAGCATCTATCTATCTATCTATCTATCTATCTATCTCATCTGCAATTGTTCAACACAATAAAGAGGATGTTCATTTGCGAACGAACATCATGTTGATAAAAATATAATTGTAGAGTTGAGATGTGGGAATAGAGCGAACGCGGCATCATTCAGGTTGCAGAACGCTCAAGTGGAATGGAATACCTCAGCATTTAATGTTATTTACTTTGCTCATTGTCCGTTCAATGCATTCCCGATAAATGTTTTCTGTCTCACTTCTTCATTGATTTCTCCTGAGCATTTCCCCTCGGCAATCCTCTTACTGATGAAAGAGTTATTTTTAACTGATGACAAACAATGTCGTTATTTGAAGATATTATGCGGAAGTTTGCCATTTGTGGACACTATGATGGCCAGGACGAAAGACATATTGTGAAAGATAGACAACGATATCGAAAATTCACTTCCAAAAAGAATGACATAATAATTTTCACACGAAAAGTTGAATGGCATTTTTATTACTTGTAACATATACACAGTGGCTAGCCTCTGTGAAAAATATTAATGATGTTCGTAAGAAAAACTGAAGAAAACGTTGAAATGAAGAATTGAATAGTAAATGAGATCAACCTTGAATGCAATTTCGATGGAATACTCTTGATGATTGTATTGGATAATTGCTGTATGTGAGTGTGAACTTTATTCCAACCACTATCGTTTTTCTTATTGTGATTGCTATCCGACGATGTGCTCGCCTCTTCGACAACTGTTTCGCATTCGTCACTTAATTGTGAGTCACCGTTCGCCTTTTCACTTGTCAACGCTTGTTTGTCTCCGTATTCCTGAAAAGAGGCGGAAATTTCCGAAAGATTTTTAAAACTTTCAACTGAAATGAAACATACTCTCACGTTGGAGTGGCTGTGGAATAAGTTATGCTTGAAAAACTTGGAAAGCTGCTGTCAACCATGTTTACAATAGAAACACTGCCTATGAAATAAGATAGATNAGATAGATCAAAGTTTCTATCGAGAACGATCAGTACTAGACAGCGATCAACTTTGATAGGACGCTATCTTCATGATATAGATATTAGATAGGGACTGCTGAACAGCACTGTTTCCTGATTGCGAAAGCTAACAGCCATTTCTGATTTCATCAACTTGTGAATGAATGAGCGCAGGAATTAATCAACGACTGATTTCAATCATCGACATCGACAACGAGTGACATTACCGAAGGCAGTATTAAAAACTCATCAATTCGCTGAATTTTCTTTAATTTGAAATCTACACCTGATAAAACGCGCATTGAACAACAGTTAAGACTTCGCGATACCGACCATCCGTATTATAATTTCTATTCAAAGTGTTCAAAGTGATATAAATTCATACGATGTGATATTTAATTATGTAATATTGTATATGCTTTTAATGAATGTTAGGTATGTGAAGACATTCTAATGAGAAGTCAGTCCTGTTTTGGAGTCAGTTTAATGATATGACTCAACAGTAGTATCATGCAATAATAATGGCATTACCCCTCACACTCACAGTCAGCAACGAACGAATATTTATCATTCTAACAGAGATTATTGGCAATCTCATGATCGCACGCAATTATGATTGACACAAGTGTGAATGATAATCAGATGATTTGGAGACGTTGATTGGCATATTTGGTTGATATTATATTATTGAATGGAAAGACAGATATGGACGTGTTTCAAAATGGCTCATTTACGTAGTAATTTTGAACGCTTCTTTGATCACTTCAAAGAACTGCGGCTGGATTATGAAAAACCTTTAACATGAGATAAAAACGAAGAAACGCGCATACTCTGCGAGCAACAATAAAAATGAAATTAACGAAAGAAGTTTTCAAAGAGCGAAAAATTATTCTCAGAAACTTCCAAATTACAAACAAAACTTGTCACGAAACGCAGCAATTCACGCACACAATTAGATGATTACTACAGTTTTGTGTTACATTCAAATATGGTTGGTGGTGAGTGAGTGACACCAAATCCAGTTTCAGATTCAAACAATCTATGAAGTGAAGTACATGATCGAGCAATGAAATAATTTCCTGCGCATGTAATAGTATGAAAATGACAATGAGACATAAATTTTTCAAGAGATAAGTCGTAAGATTTCGAAATAAAATTTGACTTGAACACAAAGTGAAAACATCACTGGTGATGAGGTGTTTTTGTTTTGCCGATTACAATCAAACTCACGTTTTCAACATCAACAAACTAGTTCAAAACGACATAGTCTCTAATTAATAGTCGCAGTCAACTGAAAAGAGTGTTGATTGCATTCCTTATTTCCTTGTTCACAACATCAAAATAACAGCTGCTTATTTGCTTGCTCGAGTTCTGATTTTAGAAATAATCATTATCGATTCACACGTCCCATACGAAAAGTAGTCCAACAAACAGAGTCTATTCGACAACTGACTATTACCAATGAACGAAGTAACAAAAATAGTAGCATTCAAGTGGTATTTCGATAATAACTTAATCATATAAATGGGCGATACGGGCTGAAAGTTGACTCAAATGAGGATGAAATGATTAGAATGCAGTTGATTAGTGAAACGATATTCACGCTTTCGAGCAATGATTTGACCCAAATCTTTGATCAGTTAGTTGCCTTATGAAGATATGACAACGAACGTTCATTGTTACAATTTGAACAAGAACAACAACGCAGTGCAACAGATG